TTTGTACTGAGCACCTTGAAACTTGGCTCAACTCTGCCTGAGAACTGAAGATGTCCTTCCTCACTGAGCCTTGCGGAACACAAGGCAGAGTTCTGAGGAATGTGTATATTGATGCACAGGCAGGTTTCCCTGGGGATACACACTTATCTGTCACTCACTTGGATGGAGAGTTAGGCACTGGAGAAGGCATACGTGTTTGAGGGTTTGGCTGGTAGGTCACCACCAAAGGGTGACCCTCCATCTGCCTCACGCTGGACTTTGGCCCCCGCAGTGGAGCATAACTAGCTAACAGGCAGTCTAGGTAGGTGGTGGGCAATCAGCATGCCATTCGTTTTTAAATCCTCTGCCTAGGGCTCCTTCAAGAAAACCTGGTGAAGCCACCATGGATGTCTTCTCCTGGATTAATGGGTCACATAACTGAACATTTGGATAAAGTCAGACAGATTAGAACATTGTGCAAATTATGGCAAAGATTCACTGGACAGTTGTTGGCAACAAAGTAATTGGCTGGTGGCCCATCCTGACCTCCTCCAAGGCCTACTTTTGAGAGGAAGGAAGACTAGGTCTCGGGTGGTTTAAGATGAAACCCTGCCCCGAGGAACTTGGAGCAGTGTGGTTAGATTGAAGGAGGGTCCTGAAGGTGTGGCGGAGAGTCAGAAGACGCCACAGTGGCTAGAAAAATGGCAGCATGTAGGAATTCTGAGAGATGGAAAAGAACTTATTTGTCAGATTTTCCCCTAAGGGTCATGCCCTGATAGAGGCAGCTGGTCAGGTAATAATAGAGGTGGGTGTTTTGAGAGCAAGGCAGTCATGCCTTTGTGTAAGCATGTGTCTTTGTGTAAGCTCCAAAAGATGTCTCAAAAAGCAGAGGACCCCTGAGATTGGAGTGTACCTCTGGGATGCTCCGTCCCATCCCTCATAGCCTGTGAGTGACCCAGCAGTTACTTCCTGTGCTTTTATCACAGTGGGAAACACTCCATATGTGCTGTTCCAGGCCTACTACAGTAATCAGCTGAAGGCTCTGCAGGTGCCCTTGTGTGTGAGGTTCTAGTAATCAGGTTGTTTTTCCAATTTAGGTATGATCCAGGCCCTGGGTGGCTTCTTTACGTACTTTGTGATTCTGGCTGAGAATGGCTTCCTCCCACTTCACCTGTTGGGCCTCCGAGTGGACTGGGATGACCGCTGGATCAACGACGTGGAAGACAGCTACGGACAGCAGTGGGTAAGTGGGCGCCTCTCCCCTGATCTATTCCACAGCTCCTCGCTGCCGCCGGCCATGCAGGTGAAAAGCCAGAGCTCATCTTCTGTCTTGCATTTCAGACCTATGAGCAGAGGAAAATCGTGGAGTTCACCTGCCACACAGCCTTCTTCGTCAGTATCGTGGTGGTGCAGTGGGCTGACTTGGTCATCTGTAAGACCAGGAGGAATTCAGTCTTCCAGCAGGGGATGAAGTAAGTAATGAAGGACATGGCAAGGCCTTGGCGCAAAGAAGGGGTCTGGTGATTTGTAACCCTTTGCCAGAAACACAACGTTTGAAACATACAGCCAGGTTTCTGGAATCTCTAGCTTATACAGCAAATATAGAAACCAAGAAATGTAATTTTCTCGTTTTTTCATCTGACCTCCAAGTTTTCAAGTACAGCTAATACATAAAGATGTTGATCTGCCACTTTAATGCATAGCATTAGAAGATAAACCTTTATTTGCATCTTTGAAGCTTTTTCTCCCCCACTTTGATTTTAGGAACAAGATCTTGATATTTGGCCTCTTTGAAGAGACTGCCCTGGCTGCGTTCCTTTCCTACTGCCCTGGAATGGGTGTTGCTCTTAGGATGTATCCCCTCAAGTAAGTTGACCCTCTTGTAGCCCCAGAAAGTATGAAATAGTATGTACGGCTTTCCCCCGCAACCATGACTTACAGTAATAGCTGTTATTTTCAGAACTTGGAGTGGTATGTACAAAAATTCTTCTGGATTGGAAAACTAAAAAATGTTGACATGTGCCGGGTGCGGTGGCTCAAGCCTGTAATCCCAGCACTTTGGGAGGCCGAGGCGGGTGGATCACGAGGTCAAGAGATCGAGACCATCCTGGTCAACATGGTGAAACCCCGTCTCTACTAAAAATACAAAACATTAGCTGGGCATGGTGGCGCGTGCCTGTAATCCCAGCTACTCAGGAGGCTGAGGCAGGAGAATTGCCTGAACCCAGGAGGCGGAGGTTGCGGTGAGCCGAGATTGCGCCATTGCACTCCAGCCTGGGTAACAAGAGCGAAACTCCGTCTCAAAAAAAAAAAAAAAAAATGTTGACATGTCAGTAAATCAGACTAGCAAATCCTGAGGTCTCCATGATGGCAGGTGGTGATTAGAATTTGGCCCAGGATAAGATGAAGCCACACAGGCTCTACCTCCGTAGAATTGCTCAGCAGTGAACCGCATGGAGCACTCAGTCCAGTTGTCTTTAGAGGCCAACTGGGGATATGCCGGAGCTTAGGCATCCGGGCCCAAATCTTGATTTGCTTAATCACTGTCCAAGTCCTCCACCTTTCTTGGACTCTGAATCCTCTGCTCTTAAAGATGGCTGGAGAAGCGGATCTGAGGTCCCTTTTACTTTATAATCAGTCATGCGTAGATTTGATCACAGGAAGCATACTGTTAGACTTTGGCTTTAAACACAGTAAATGACTGCATTTCTGATAAACCTGAATTTGCAAGTAGAGGGTTCATCACACACTCTGTTAGCTTTCTGCAACACTGAGTATGTTTGGCGATACCTGGTAACTGGTTGAAGTTAAGCAGCTGCAACTTGATTGAAATGTGCTAAGCCACAGATTGCGGGACCCATTTGTTAAGTTCTTTCGAGAAAGCTTTTGATTTAAAGCATTAGTCTCCTTTGAATTCCTGTTGTCCCTATCCTTGCTCAGACCCATCTGAACCATCCAAGCTCGTTAGGTGAATTCAGTTTTCTTCCTCTGCCTTTGTATTTGGTAAGGATGCTTCCTCCCCTCGGGTCCCTCCTCCTGTTCCCTCCTACTCTGGCAATCCTGAGAGTCCCTTCAGGGCTGGTTTCCTTGGAGCCTGTCCCTCCAGAGCCTGTGCACCCACACCTCTTCTGTGGCATTACTTGTTACTTGTCATTTCACCTCCTTGCTAGGTTTTAATCAGGAAGGCATGGGCCACAGTGTTTTCCTTCTCTGTGCACCCCCAGCCCACTACACAGAGCTGGTATACAGCAGGGGCCAGCCGTGTCCAAGTTGAATTCTGTCAGCTTGGACCATTATGTATCAAGAGTGGGTGGGAAAGGTCACAGAGATTTCCAAAAAGGCTGATGGAAATCACACTGAAAAGGGTGCATTTCCATTTCTGGGTTTGTTTTTTTTGTTTTGTTTTTGCTACCACCCAAGAGATTGTTCTAACAGGTTCTGCCTAATTTTGGAAGGTGGTTCAGTTACTAGGTGACTGAGTCAAATGAGGTCATCTCTTAGCTTCTGTGGCAGACACACAGGAAGAGGAAGAGACCCCCGGGTCCCTGCCCAGGGACAGCCTTTCTCACCACAGCAGGGAGCTGGTGATCACATAGGCTGCCTGTCAGCAGGCTGGAGACTGTGTGGCTCAGTCTCCAGGCCCCTTGGAAGCCTCTGGGTTCAGCTTTTTCAGTCCCCAGGACCAGGACTCAGAACACTGAGCTGCATATCCCAAATACTGCTGTCAACGAGATTAGATTTGGGGATAAGCTGGTTTTGACCCACACTGGCAGGTCTGTATCTTCAAATGTCAGGACATTAGGCAGATGGTCTTAAAAGCTTCTTAAACACTTTGGAAATGAAAGAATCAAAATGTTGAGTTGCCCTGGGATGGTTAAAAGAAAATGTACTCTGCTCATCCTATAAACCAAGTCTTATGAAATCCAAACTGAAGATGAGTAGGGATTCGTTTCAAAATCTGCAGACGGATTTCTCACGCGTCTCTAGGCCCTGGGCACACGAAGTAGCAATCTGTTTTAAGACATTTTTATTTGTTCTGTTAATGACTCAGTAGTTAACTGTGACTGTACTTGGCTTCTCCTTTCAGGCTTATTATTTCGTTGTCACTGTGGTGACGTGCAGTTTCTCCCCTTTATCTGAATTGTGGTTGCGTGCATATAAATTGGTACCTCATTCTATTTCCAGACCTACCTGGTGGTTCTGTGCCTTCCCCTACTCTCTTCTCATCTTCGTATATGACGAAGTCAGAAAACTCATCATCAGGCGACGCCCTGGCGGTAATTATGGGCATTCTGACTTTGGTTGGAGGAGGAGTGGGAGGGGCTGTAGACGTACTGGCTTTTTGTTTCCACCAAAGTGAATGGGCTCCCTCAGTGGGCAGTCCGATTGGCCCAGGTTATTGGACCAGCACACTGACCCATAGTCACATCTTCAGAATGTAGATCTCAGTTACGGTTTGAGGAGTGGTCATTTTTAGACTTTAAAATACAAACCAAGTATGATTCAGTGAAAACCTGTCAGAAATCTGAACCATCTTTCCAGGTAACGTTGTATTCCTAAAAAAATTTAAATAAGTGTAGTTGAGGTCCCGTGTTGAATTTGGATTTTAGCACACCCAACCCCCTCATCCTCAGGCTGGTTTTTATCCGTTTTCCCTTTCTGTAATGCTGGAGTGAGGAAGACTGACTGTCATGTGTCTTGTCTGTCTCTCTGCCACCCACAGGCTGGGTGGAGAAGGAAACCTACTACTAGCCCCCCATCCTGCACGCCGTGGAGCACCAGGCCACACACTCTGCATCCGCTACCCACCCCCTCTTTGTGTACTTCAGTCTTGGAGTTCGGAACTCTACCCTGGTAGGAAAGCACCGCAGCATGTGGGGAAGCGAGACGTCCTGGAATGAAGCATGTAGCTCTATGGGGGGAGGGGGGAGGGCTGCCTGAAAACCATCCATCTGTGGAAATGACAGTGGGGAAGGTTTTTATGTGCCTTTTTGTTTTTGTAAAAAAGGAACACTCGGAAAGACTGAAAGAATACATTTTATATCTGGATTTTTACAAATAAAGATGGCTATTATAATGGAGTTTGTGCCCTCGTCGCTTCTTTGGTACAGATGTCTGTGTGGTCTGGAGCTCTGGTTTTCAACATACGAGTCCCTGACCGGTTTATCAGCATCACCTGGGAGCTTGCTAGGAAGGCAGGCCCAGACCCACTGAGTCAGAGGTGCATCACCAATGTGGCTTAGTAAGCCCTCAGGTGATTCTGATTTACATTCAAGTTTGAAAACCACTGGCTAAGAGGAAGCATTCTGTCCGTGCTCTCTTATTTGGAGTAGGTGAGCTTACATGAACCATTTTTCTGGGTATTGCCTGGGGTGATACGGCTGTAACTCTACCTCTGCTGCCTTAGCATCTGGCGTTTTGATGGAAAAGCACAAAGGATCTCCAGAGCCTCAGAGTATGATAAACTGCAGATGAGGCCCTTCTGGTCCAGTCTTAAACACAGACCACAGGCCTTCCTGCTTTTCCTCCAGAGATCACCACCGCAATAGTCTCCAGTGTCTCTAGCCCAGGGCTTACCTGAGAAGCAGAAATCTATCACACACAGTCTGCCTGGGCATGTGTGCTCATGGAAGAGTGGTTACCTTCCTTCCATATAACATGTTCCTAATTTAGCATCAAACGACACAATTTCAGCAAGTGGTTATGTGACAGCAGGCACTTAAGAAAAAGGTGAAAGAGATGTGTTTAGGGTCAAGTCTGAGAACACCTGCTTTCAGCGCTGCTGTAAAAGGCTCCTCTCAGTCTCAGCCATGAGTGGTGCGAGTGCTGTTAACTGCCCGTGCTTCTCCCGGGCTGTCATTGCCGAGTGTTGCCTCCAAGCAAACACAACGAGGAGTCCTTACCTCTGGCACTAAACAGTGATCGTGATCTGCCAGATGATCACAGTGTCTTTTTTCTCTGAAAAGCTTAACTGAGTCCTCAAGCTTGGTTGCTGTGCACCTCCAAGCTGAGGCAATGGGGGAGGGAGCAGGGGTGACTCCTATACACTGGGGCTGTGGTTGTTGCACCCACCCACTCCAGCCACAGAACTGGGAGGGGCAGGTGGTCTGGGACTCTCCGTTCTTGGGGCATTTTCTCCTGGGGTGATCTCTACATTTGTCTGCAATCTTTAAAATGAGCCATTTGCTCATACCAACTTGAGATTAAAGGATTCTGAGTGAGGTAGTAACAGTCCTCCCGGAAAGCACCTGACTGGCCTGGCTGTGATGGCAGGATCGAGGCCACTCTTGTGTGCTCAGGCTGGCACACTGGTGGTGTCCATACCTCGACTCCCTGTACATCTACTTCGAGCATCCCTGGAGAGGACCAGCACACATACACTGCTGTGATGAAGGTCATGGGCACTTCCTGATGCAGAAGAATTTGAAGCACTCTGAGACTTTAGCCTCTGAAGAGGGAACCCCCAGAAAGCGCTAAGCCAGGGTTTCTCCGACAGCTCTAAGAAGCCCTGATCTTCTGGAGAAACCCTAGATGGAGCAAGGCAGGAGGGAGGTTCTGAACTTCCCATCCGATTTTCCACCAGAACATTTCTACCTGATAATCCTTCGAATAAACTGTTTTACAGTGAAACATTTGATTTAGGAAAAGCAGGTAAGTGAGCTGCTCTTCAGGGGTAAAGCTGGGACCAAAGCCACGTCTGCTGTGGGTGAGAGCTTTCCTAGCTTTCTAAAAGCAGGAGGGCTTGGGCTCTCATTTCTACCTCTACGCTCAAACTCTCCCTCTGGCCCTGTCACTAGGAGCTAAAATCACTCCAGAGCAATCACAGAAGCAGCTTCTCACGATAACCCTCAGCACTGTCAATTCCCTGCAGACCTCTGTCTCTGACCACCCTTCTAAATGCCCTCAAAATACTTCTCACCACATACCTTTTTCAATATATGAGCCCTCACTGGTTATGTTCAACTTCTTACTGGTCCTTCTCAGCATTTAAATTGGAGTCTCATCCCTCTCACATCCTGACCCACACTTCTCTAACTATCACCCTTCCTCATGGACGAACTTTTAAGAAGTCATTGCCACTCCTCCTATTTGCTCACCTGCCAGTCATCCCTCTGCCTCCTCCAGCTCCAACACCAGTCCACCAAAATTGTCTGGTTGAGGTCACACTGACCTCCCGATGCCTCTGTTATATCTCTTCCATCCATCACACCCTTCAGGAAACCAGACCTCCCATATTTCTGTCATTGTCTCTGTGCACTCAGCTCTCAGCCACCTCTTCACCTACTCGACCCCTCGTTTCCTCAGGAAGGGCCTCCCGCCTGCTGTCCCTGCTTCATACTCTTCCTGGGATGATTTCCAGCTCTGATCTGGTCCTCTCCTGAACCCGATGTGTAAATCCAGTTGTCCTGGACGTACGCCTTTGTTCAGAGAGAGAACAGCACACTTGAGTCTTGGTGCCAATGGCAAGCCTAAGTTTGAGGTCCCACAAATAAGTATGCTTTAGGCAGTGATGACTTTTGGCACCCTACTGCCCAAGCCAGAAACTGGAAAGGTAGGTGAGCCCTCTCTTTTCCTGCTCTGCCCCACACCCCATTACTGTGGATTCCAATGTTGTGGTAGAGAAAATGGACTTGGCGTCTTTTACCAACATAGACACAGATAGTGACTCATCTTTGTGCTTCCTTTACAATATTTCATAGCTGTTAAAAGGATTGAGATTATGCATAAAAGGGAGTCTCATAGTGGCTGCTGTTCAGTAAGTCATTCTCTCTACTGCCCGTGTCCTTCACATCTGGGTGCCTGAAGCAGCCTTTTGGTGGTCTCCCTAATTTTTGCCTCTCTCTAATCCAGCAGTTCTCTTAAGTGTTTCTGGACCAGAAGCATCAGCATCACCTGGGAGCTTCTTAGAAATGCAAATTTTCATGCAGACCTATTGAATCAGAAACTGGAGGGGAAACCCAGCAATCTATTAAAAGTAGCTTTCCAGGTGATTCTGAGGCACAGTAAAATCTTAGCTATTGCTCTAATCCATCCTCCAAGCCAACATGGCTGCCCCTCTCCACTATCCGTCTTCACCCCGGACCCCAGCACATAAAACCCTGTCTGCTCAGCCATTCGAACTCCTGTGCAGTGCCACACGCTCTTTCCTCTGCCATCCCGCAAGTCCCTTCGGCATTCTCCCAACCCGCCCACCATCCCCCCAACCTTCATTCACCTGGTGAATCCACTCACCCTATGAACATGTCCATTAGGTCTTTGCTCTTTGGGAAACACTCAGTGGATCCTCACTTGTAGCACTTTCACTTCTGTTGATTTGTTTGTTCCCAGATAGACTGTGAGTTTCTAGATGACATGGACCAGGCTGTACCCTCACTAGCATCTAATGCTATGGATGTTTATTAGAGTAAATGGATGCATGCACATTTTTCTGTTGCCCAAACAGCCGTCATTTTAACAATTCACTCTCACTTTGAGTCTGCTTCTTGGCTTAGGGCTGACACTTCACCCAAGGGAACCCATGCCCTGGCTTGCCACCTGTCCGTGAGTTATGGCCTCTCCTCTCTCAAGACTTTGAAGTTACAGAGTGTAAGAATAAGTCATGCATGGAACTGCGGTGTTGGAAAGTTGAGTGGAGAGCCATCTGGCAAGCAAAGGTACTGGGTAAAGAAGAGATCCACAAAGACAGACACCAAGAAGGACACCAGCTCTGGATCTGCCTGGTTCCGGAGCTTTTGAGTCCCTGACCTGGGTTTCTAATGCTCTCACAAGAAGCCGCTCCCTTCCCCCAACTAGACTGGAATCTCCCATCAGATAGTTGATGAGTACTCTCTATTTCTTCAAAGAACTCACAATTCTAATTAATTATTGATATCCAGTTATGTAATTATTAATTTAATATCCCTTTTTTTCCTGCTAAGCTTTATGAGGTCATAAAGCTGATCTGTTCTTTTCCATTTTTATCCCTGGTGCTCAGCTCAGTGCCTCACGAAGAAAACTGAGCACTTAGCACAGGGGGTCAACACTCCCTCCTGAAGGAGGAGGGCACACAGGCAAAGTGACTTGTCCATGGTGTCCTGTGGTTAAGAGGAGGGGGCGAGGCTGGAACGAGACTGGAAGGAGTGGGTCTCACATTTCCCACCAGCTATGTTGTGTGCTGCCCTCCTGGATGAAAACCTGAGTGCACAGATGTTCAGGCACTCACAGTGGGAGGCACCTCCTGGCTGGGCTCAGGCTCGCTGGTGGGGCTGCACGGGATTTGTGCCCACAGACTTTCAAGAGCTGTTTCCTTTTCAGCCCCATCCCCTCACCTGTGTGCCCGGAGAGAGCGGCAGTCTCAGCAATGGGTTGGGGAGCCTGGATCCTGGGCATATTAGGTGGACAATGTGGGCAAGTCACATGGTCTCTCCAAGCCTCTGTCTGTAAAATGGAGATGACCCCCCGTTCTTACCTCAGGAGGCTATTGTGAAGACTATGTGAAGGAAAATGTGGAAAGGGCTTAGCAGAGTGACTGGCCCTACGTCATGGTTCAATAAAAGGTCACTCACCTCACACACCCGCCCATACACACGTCTCCACCACAAACTGTGCTCCAGGTGTCTCCTGAAGATAAACAGAGGGGAACACGCTGCTGTTCCCACCTAACAGACATAGCTACTTACTGTATAGTGGTTGTTACGTGCCAGGCAATGTCCTAAACTATGACTATTTCACAAGTGAAAACAACTGAGCCTCAGAGAAGTGAAGTAACTTGCCTGAAGTCACACAGCTACTAAGTGGCAGAGTTGGGCGAATCTGCCTTGAACCCAGACGGCTAGGCTCGAAGCCTGGGTTCCCAACATGCTAGGGAGGTGCTGGCTGTGGTGGTAGAAAGCACTACTAGGGGTCAAGAACAGGAGGAGGGCAGTGTTTGTATGAAAAACAAAGAACAGGGAAGGTTAGAGCTGGTGTTAAAACATAAGATCATGGAAAGTTTCTTGGAAATTAAGCACATGCTGTTGAACAGTTACTCAAATGGATTTGCCCCCAGGAGCTGCTGGGTGATCAAGCTGCAACTTGCGTAACTGGGAAGCGTGAAGGTGGGAGGCTGTAATCCCAGGCAAGCTCGGCACTGCCTCTCCTGTTAGGTGAATGGGCAGACCTGCTTCCCAGGCTGCGGCTGTCTGCGTACAGGGGTGTGTCCCTTGCCTCCCGTGGGCTGTAGAGAGGCCTCCTCTGTGTTCATGACTGTCCTTCAGCAGACAGAGGTGTTAACACTGTCCCTCCCAGCCCTGTCTTCTATAAAAAGCAGGGATCTCATCCCTTCTCATCTCTTCCCTTCCCCATTGAGGTCTCTGACGCAGTACAGTTAATCGGTGCGTAGGAAAGCAGAGCTGTTTACAGAGGTCATTCGTTAATGCAAAGAATGTTTTTGTAGTATAAATTATTGCTCTATTTAAAACCGCTTGCAAGTTTTTGTTGGTGGTGGGTTCTTTTGTTTTTGTTTGAGAGATGTGGTCTCACTCACTATGTTGCCCAGGCTGCTCTCAAACTCCTAGGCTCAAGAGATCATCCTGACTTGGCCTCCCAAAGTGCTGGGATTATAGGTATGAGCCATAGTGCCCAGCCTGGTTGCAAGTTTTTAAAGTTTTGCTAAAATGACAAGCATATGAGGATATTATTGCCAATTAAATATTATCCCAGAACGTACATTCATCCTTTACTACAAAAGTCTTCTGTGTGTTGGTTCTCTCCCAAAGAAGAGACAGCAAAATGCTCACAGCCAGCTCTTCACCCCATGTGCCTGTGGCAGGAGAGAGCCCAGGGTCCCTGTCAGTCACCCATTCCAATTCCCTTATCACTGGTGCCAACAAGGCAATGTTTTCTAAGGGAAGGGAAATCAACATTCACTGAACGTGTACAACTGCCTACAGCACTATTTTGGGGGCTTTTTATTTCATTTCATCCTATTAGGTAGCTAGAGGTAAATATAACCCCCACTTTGCAGGAGGAGAAACCGAGAGGTTAGTAACCTGTAAGAAGTGATAAATTTACAAAAGAAAAACAACCCCATCAAAAAGTGGGCAAAGGATATGAACAGACACTTCTGAACTGAGGATATGAACAGACACTTCTGAACTGGTCATTAGAGAAATGCAAATCAAAACCACAATGAGATACCATCTCACACGAGTTAGAATGGCGATCATTAAAAAGTCAGGAAACAACAGATGCTGGAGAGGATGTGGAGAAATAGGAACACTTTTACACTGTTGGTGGGAGTGTAAATTAGTTCAGCCATTGTGGAAGACAGTGTGGTGATTCCTCAAGGACCTAGAAATAGAAATTCCATGTGACCCAGCAATCCCGTTACTGGGTATATACCCAAAGGATTATACATCATTCTGCTATAAAGACTCATACACACATAT